CGTGGTATCGTTCGAACGCGACAATGAATCATTATCGATGCGGCGATTAATCATAATCCCTGCAATTAATGTCCCCTACGCTCGCAAAGGTATATAATTACGATACACGTACGCACGAAAAATCGGACTTTTGTTTCTGGCTATTAGCCAGTGTCTTCGACGGGACAAAGAGCGGGAAAGCTCGGTCGTCGCGTAGGAGCGCGACCACCGACCAATTTCAAACGTCATTAAAATCGTTCTCGAACTCGTTGACTGGAAAATAATCGCGGGTGTACGACTGGCCAGCCAATGCAAATAATAACGAACCGAGAGGGAGAGAGAGAAAAAATCGAGTTTCGTCCGAGTTCGAAAAGGAGCAACGACCAAAAAAGGTCCGACCAAACGCGAACTATTTCGCGAAAATCACGTTGCGTTTCGCATTTCATTTCGTTCCGTCTTCGAAGAGTGGCGTGAACACCACCGAGAAGGCCACCATTTCGAGTTAACGAGCAATGAAAAACCGTCGTTTCTCTTTCCGTTTCTCTCTTTGTTGAGCGCTGCCGAAATATCGCCAACGAAATGCGTTGAAAAGAAACGGAAATGCCAATTGGTTGAAATCGTTCGGAAACAACGAAAGTATATTTCAAATGATGAAGGAGTAGAGGTGATTTACGTAAAATGGAAATCGTGTGTAGGCAATGTGAAAAATTCAAAGCAAACGGACAGTTTCTCGAGAATTGTCTCGTAGCCGGTAACGTACGGTCCTCATTCAGCTCGTTTTTAGTTCCAGTTTTCAGTTTCAGGTCAAAGGGGGCACGATCAACGTTCAAGGCCGGCGCGAAACTTTACGATAACGAAGGGAATAGATTTTCCACGGAACTCGACGCGCGTGCAAAGTTTCTGCAGAAAGATTCATCATCCAGCGTCGGTCTTGGTAACGGTTCGCCAACTTTCGAGCAAAATTGCTTCGTTGTTGAACGATATTGTGGGAAAAAAAGAAAACAGAAAAAAAAAACGTGTGAGCCGCGTTCCGTTACCGAGTCGCTCGCGCGCTGCCGACCACCGAGGGTGATTCGTCGTTCGAACAACGAGAACCAGCGAGCGAACGTGCGACCAACGCACGTTCAAAGGCGTACCGCGTGTCCAGTTGTCGTTTGAATTCGTCGAATTCATTTATCGTATTCAATTATCGGGTCGATAACGCGATTAAAATCGCGCTGAGCACTAGCAACCGCGTAAACACCGATTATAATATATTATTTTATTTAACGGTTATTTAATACCGGCGCCAATAATCGCGATTTATTGTTCGTATTTCGGCCAAGTTTCATAGAGCGTATAATGAACTTTCCGGGCAGAAACATCGAATGAACAAAAATTTACATAATACCGGCGGTGTTCACTTCGTTTCGTCGCGAATAATCAAATCAATTTTCCCCCGGCGTGCGTATTACCCGCCAGGGAGAAATGCTCGGGCGATCGGAACGGGAAGAGGGAACGAGAGAGGAGTGGAAAGAAAAAAAATTAACGCATCATCGACGTGCATGGTCAAATAACTTTATACTTCGCGTTCCGTTACACTCTCTTCTTCGCGAGTTCTTCGACTGACCTGGACTGGCCCAAGACGCGTGCAAATTGAGTTTAAAGTGGCCAAAATTGCGACCGAAATCTTACTCGAATGCTTCGGACGATTATGCCACAATTTGCTCCCTTAATCTCTTCCCCTTTTTCTCTGGTTGTCTTCTTTCTTCCTCCTTTTTTTTCTTCTTTCTTTTTTTTTTCTTTTCTTGCGGTCGCGAATCGATACTTAATTGCACGCGAACGATGTTCTCGTTCGGCCGGCGCTTCTCGGAAGCATTAAAGTTAGCGGAACTTCTAAAAACGACAAGAAAGTAACGAGAAATCACGATCATTCGATCGTAAAGGAACGAGAAGCGTCGTGACCGCGAAAGAGAAACAACAAGGGTGCGAAACACGCAAGAACACCAAGTGTTAAAAGTCGAACCGACTCGATCTCGCAAGACTAATCTGTCGACGACAGAAAATTTTCCCCGATGATTAAGCGCTTGTCAGACATATGCTGTCTTCATTGCTTCCCCTTGTAGGGAGCCACGTGGTCCGTATATGCGTTTCTGTGAAATGCACCAACCCCTCAAACCCATTATTGGCCGACTAATTTGTCGCTGGTGTAACTTTAGCTGGCCCTTTAAAATATTTCTTTTTTCCTCCCCTTCTTCCTGGTTTTCTTTCAGTTTCTTTTTTAATTCTTTTCTTTTTTAAATTTTTACTACGTGTACGTGTCAAGCCGCGACGAGCGTAATTTTCATGTAACCATGATGGCCAATGACTTTATCGCGATTTGAACTAATCGCTCTTGCAACAAGATCTTATCTATGCGCCTTTCTTTTTTTAGCGATCAAGAATATAATGAGGAACATTGAGTGAGATAATTGAAACTTAGCGAGATTATCAGTGTCGCGACAAATAACGTTCAAACTCAACATCGACATCAAATTTACACGTTTCAAACTATATTGGAAATATCCAATATAGTAGGCGTGGTACTTTCGAATCGAAGAAGAACGTATTTCGTTCGTATGCAAGGAATTCGAGAGCATCATCGAAGAAAGCTGCAACGATACTAAAGCTTCGAAACACCGTCAGTCACGTTGCAATTTTTTTAACCTTCCAAAATATCCAGGAAACACAGTCATACGGACAGTTACGATATCCTAGCATCCAGGAGGCAGGCGAAGAGCGAAGACAAAAAGGCGTAATAGAAGGAGAACGAGAAAAGAAGAAGCTGGCGTAGAAAGAGACAGAGGAGGAAAAAGAACAGAATGACGGGGGAGGGGGGGGGGGAGCAGAAGAAGAAGAAGAGGAAGAAGAAGAAGAAGAAGAAGACGGGCGTGTGGCGTGCGTTCGTCGTACGGGACGTTATTAGCCGACACCCTCTTTCACGTTGCCCCATCTCCTCGAGCATCGCTCGTCTCATCTCCTTTTTTCTCTGATTTCCTATGCGGGGGCTAGAAACGCGTTTAATTAACATAGCTGGCGTGGCTGCATCCCTCTTCTCTTGGGTGCCGAGCAGACAGTCAGCTTTCACGGGCCATTGCACGCACGATACACCACGTATTACAAACTATATTTCTTTCTCTCTTTCTCTCACTATCTCTCAATTTTACCACGGTCCCGGATGTACAGCGTGGGCGCGATTTAAATGTTAACACGAAAATTCGAGATGGATGGCCCGCTGAAAAATACGACGCGGGCGCATCCTGCATGGCCGTTAAGGATACGCGGCAATATGATAAGCAGTTTGCTGGACTTGGCTCATTTCGCGGGCCATCGATCGTACCACGATTCATCCTTGTGAGAGAGTGACCGAGTGTTTCGAGTGTCATTCAGTATAATATATGGCGGATGGAAAAAGTGTTCGCGTACCGTTTTTATTCTCCATTTTTTTTTTTCTCAGGTTTTACTAAAATGGAGTGTCGTCAGATAAAGAAATTACTTTAAATTCAAGTAACGAATTGAATTAATTGAGTTTTCCTTAGTTAACCACTCCGTTAAGTTCCGTAATTACTCGTGAGTATTACTTTGTTATTTTTAATTCTCATTAAAGTTTCTAACGAAGGAATGTACTTCGAAATTAATAAATACAAATGTTTGTATCAAGTTGCACATTTTTCTTTAGTTTCTGCGTAATTGAAAAAAAAAAGAAAAAAAGAAAGAAAGATGAAGCCGTCGTTAACGTCATAACGCTTAAACAACACTGTATATGCAAACACATTTGCCGTGGAGCATTCCGAAGGTGAATGCGCAGGCGTGTCTGCGCGCGAAGTACCATGTGACGCTCAGTCCGCGGCGGATATAATGCACGCCTACCACGGAAATGCTCTTTCTGACGGATCGGCCGACTAATTTGGTCCTTGTCACAGGGTATGCCCGAGGATTAATGGCGACCACCTAGTTCATGCTACCGCGAATTCCTTGGAAATTCCCCCGTTCCTTCGTTCAGACGAAAGGAAAAAAAAAAAAAACGTTGTCCCTTAATTAACAGATCCGAATAGGAACGATAATAAAGTGCTAACGTTGCTATCCTCCATTTGTTCGTCACGACTCGTGACTAAACACGCACATGGTAATGAAAAAAACAGGTTCCATTCAAATTCGCGGTATTAGAAACGTGTATAGATGTAATACGGTACGTGCGATATATTTATCCTATATTACGAACGATAATATGATTTATACGTTTTCAGGTTATAGACTGTTTTCATTAAGAAAATAGAAATAATTCAATAATTGTGTTATATGTGTTCCATATATGTATGTAGTTATGTGATGATAATAATTTGGAGTATTTAATACATCGTACAATCAAACATTTCTGTGATAATAATGATGTAATGATAATGATAAAATCTAGTATAACACAGTTTTGATTAAAAAATACATACAGAAAATTATGCAATGTTAAAGTACAAGAAAAATTTTTACTTGAATAACTGAAGGTTGAAGAATCGCCGGAAGTATGTAAAGTATGTAAGAATGGATGTCTCTGCATGAACAATCATTGTCACTGGCTCTTTAATGATTGATGCACTAATTATCACTTACACGCGTCTTGACAATACCAATTATTATAAATAAACGCGATTTTACAGCTACGAGCACAAGTATTGCGCGCTATTTCCGTGAGTCAACTGCCAGCCTCGCCACGCCATCTGACGTACTAAACAGAAAATGATTTCAAATTTTATCGGCATGTAATCTTTGGCGGTAAATTTGAAATTCGTTACTTTATATTGTATATACATACAAATGGTACAATACAATTTTTAAGTAACCAATTAATGTAAAATAAAAACAGACTGCTCAATGTGTTCATTTTATTTCCAAAGTAAAAGTACAACATATAGTAATCTCATCGGTAAACTATTATAAATATGTGTGACATAATTAAATAAATTGCAATCGACTGTGGAAATATGTAACAACAATATCGTGATATTGTTAATAAAAAAAAAAAAACGACTAGAATTCTAAAATACAAATTCATTAATGAAATACGTAATTTCTACAAGCATCGTATGCTCGTATACCGTTTAACGATACAAACGATTATTTAAAATATTGAAAATACAGTAATTCATTTGGAACAATTTTAGTATAATTTAATAGGAATTTAATAGAAATATCAGTCTTCAACAACAATTAACAGCTTTTAGCTATTAAATAATATCTCTTTCCTTCATTTTTTGTATTTTTTTTTTTTTTTGCATTTTTATCTTTTTAACTATATTTCATTGTAATTGAAATATTTTCCTAAATTTTCTTCAAACATATCCAACAGTTACTACCGTAGACTACAAACATTGAAATGCAAACGATTAATAAGCTTGGCACAATAATATCAAGCTTGTGAATTTGTGAAATTCTGCTATGGCCTATTTCAAGGTCTAGTGACGGACTTCACTTTAGCCGCATTAATGGCAGCGGACAATTTGTGCTCCTCTTGTAGAGCGGAATCATTCATTACAATCTGGTATGATTGTGAGATTCTTTCTTTATCACGAACTGCGAGACTCTGCCATTCTTTTTCCAAACTGTTCATCAATTTTTCCCTCTGTAAGCGAGCATCTTTGATCACGGACTTGTCGTCTTCGTGTACCCATTTCTTCCACAAGGCTTTTGCTTCTTCACTGAAAATAAAATATGCATGTAAGACAAGAGATGTAATGGAAAATTACACTAAAAAGATTCCACTATTTTTTATCGTTCCTCTGCTCTTATGATCTAATTTAATTCGCGATAAAAAAAAAAGATTTTCTACGTTCGTAAACTACTGTCTTATTTGCGATCTATCGAGCGCCGAATGTAGGGCGTGCGGAATGACGAACGCCTTGGCACGTATTTACGAAACACTTGATGCGTGTAAACGAGTTATGTGCACCAAGAGAGAGAGACACAAATGACTCACGGTTTTGCAACATTGACGAATCTCGACTAATTCGAGAGGCAGGAAGTACTATTCGTCGTCCTAGACCCTTACCATCGCTCACGGTCGCATGCCAATATTGCAAGTCGGATGAACGTTAAAAGGAACTAATAATACATTTCCTAATAAACATCTATGTGGGTTCTGTTCTTCATCGAAACGCCATACAATAGAATAATGTTTCAAACAAAGAAATGAATCTAATATTTCGATTTACTGAAACTTACCTATACATCGTTGAATCCATAAACGTTTTTTCTCGTTCAAGAAGTTCCGTTTCCCTCTTGTCGATGTTGACCAATCCCAACTTCCTTGATTCTTCGTCCAAATCGAGATTTTCCACTTGATACAGCTTCTTCTCGCGAATCAGTTCCAGTTTGTTCCTCATGTCTCTCAGTCGCAAAGCTTCGTCCCAATGCTGCTTATTGCACGCGTGCATCTCTCTTCTGGAGAGATCCTCGATCTTGCATTTCAGTTCCTTGTGAGTCAGGTAAAGGAACATCTGTTTCGAGAGATTCTTATCGCCGGGATTCATTCGCAGCCAAGGCATACTTTTTTCAACTTCGAACTGTCGAGTGTCCTCCGTCTTTACGTTCTGATCTTCTTCGCTGCTATGTTTGCCTAGAGAGCTTCCAGGCCTACGAGTATCAACGTTGTCGTTTAAACGATCCATCGACAATCGCTTTGAGTAATCATTTTCATCGATTTCTTGACGAGGAACATCCTCCTGCGGGACGAGATTCTTCGACTGATTTGACTGATCATTCGTCGAGTTGGAGTAACGACTTTCGGCTACCGTGTCGTTTTGAGAATTGTTTAGTTCCATATCTTGTTCTGTCGTGTTCTCTTTATCATCTCCACGAAGAGGAACGTTCCCATTCGGCAACAAGCATCTTTCAGATGATGAACCAAACGCAAGAGACGATCTGCTTGATGTCCTGCTTGATGGATTGTTGTCGAAGTCGTCGTTTCTCACGTTGGTATTCTCCAAACTTCTACGAGCATAGCGAACTGAATATTTCGAAATGGGCTTTCTAGTTTCGTTGCGCGGATACGCAGAATGACTCGGTTCCTGTTGCGTTTCTACGTTTCCTTGTGAATTTTTTTGAGAAGCCTTGCCATTGTCCTCGCTCATTCTCGAATCTCCGCGATGAAAATTTTGCTCGTTCTCACGAATGAGGTTGGTCGAATCTCTGCAAGCACGAGAATACTGAAGATTAGTATCCTTAAGCGTGTTCCAACCGGGACTTTTCGTTTCTGTGGGACAGATGAAGTAGGACTGGTATCTTCGACAGGTTCTAGGCAAATAGAGACTCTGTTCCGCTCGTTTCTCTCTCAATTTCTGTCTCAAGGCTTCCAACGATGTCTCTTCCTGGCGATCTTTTATCTTCTTTCGTTCCTCCAGTTCCTTTCTGTACCTTTCATCTTCATCCTTCAACAAATTTCTCAATTTATTCCTTCTAATGTGCAATCTCTCTGCTTTCTTAGCCTTCTCGAGTTCGCCTCTCGGATCCAAATTCCTATAATTCCACGAATCGTAGTGTTTGGCGATTCGACACTCTCGTTCGAAGTATTTCGCGATTTGTTGGTAATAATTGTATTTGAGGAACGCCTGGTTTTGCTTCTGCGCGGCTAGCTGGTATTGCCTCTCTCCATATCGTCCAACCCTTTAAAAATGACAAGCTTCTGTTGATGATTCGAATCTGAACTGGGACGAGCAAGATTGAATTATTTAGATAACATCGAGTAAAATGGTTGCTACGTTTTATTGATCAACGCGCAATGAAAATCCTTGTTTTATTACTAATACAATATTTTACAAAAATAACCACGCGTTATTGTCTTATATATTATTTATTGTGTCACCGGCGCGTGAAGTGCCAAAGCGTTACTAGGTCGAAGAGATTCACTGAACAATGTTCATTCCGTCCGTGACGATCGATCCGACCTTCATGTCGATCGGCACATAGTTGCATCGTAAACAGACGTGGGATACGTCGTAGGATCAAATGAAGAGGCGTTTTTCAACCGAGAGAGTCACCGAAATCATCCTAGAAGAAGAGGACCGTCTTCTATTTCGAGCTTGCGTCTTTCTGTGACGTCACGTCGACGAAAATATCACGCGGTTAGGGAGGTGCAGTCGTGGCCCTGATGTGTGGTCCAGGTCTCGATCTTTCCCAGACTCCCAAAAATTCTCAACCACTTCGCTCTTCCATAATTACCGTTGTCGACGGTTCGTGAGGATCGGTCGTTCGCGGATCGGGAAGCGATTCCAACTCGATCGCGAAACGTTTTCTCCTAGGTCCATCACGGTGGGACCGGTGAACCGCGAGGACAATCCGGAAGATTTCCCCGAGTGTGAAACGTTTCGAGAAAAGTGGGTCGTGGCTCTCCTACGTACAACCGATCCCCCACCTTATTAACATTTCGTCGTCCAGGAGTCTGTCAGTGGCGCATCGTTCACGTCCTCGAGAGGATCCTCGTCGTCATACGGCTCTCGTGATTCCCAGGAGCTGATACACAGATATACGCCTGTGCCTTTATTTTTTGTTCCATCGACAGGTGGAAGTCGATAAGAAAGTCGGAGTTAAACGCGAGAAGAGAACCCTGTGACAGAGCAGAGAAGAATGCCTGGTGCCGGTGGTCAACCACCGCAGAGGACCACTTTTAGGCCGCCCTGGGTCAAGGATGGTCCGTCACCTCTACCTATGCCTAGTGCACCCTGGACCCTCAATTCCAGGAGAGATTCGAAACCGAAAGACGAGGAACCACCTCCGTTTACCCAGGTTACTCTCAAAGTGAGTCTTTCTTCTTTTATTTCGCTTTATTTTATTATCGTTAACTTCCGCCACGTGTGTGAAAATAAATAAATAAAGGAATTATACGACGAGATTGTCCATGAAAGTCGACTTTAACTTGTCTCAAGCAAATTACGTTCCCACTGTCTGAAATTCAATGCTTCTGTCCTGTTCTGGAATTGTCAAAGACGACAGCCTCCGACATTGTCCGATCCAGTACGGACTTATTCTACTAGAAACGTCGAGGAATCACGTCTACCTTGCGCGGTCTTTTCCCATTCAGATATTAGGTTTCAAAGTCATCAGAGTTGACTATTAATAACTTGCGTGGGTGGCGAATAACAAGTCCTTGCGTTATAAACATTTCGACAAGTAGCAATTTACAAGGGCGTTGCATCTTAATTATGCAACGTGATGCAATTATCATTAGAAATATGAGATTATGCTTGGAAACGGGAAGGAATTAATTTATGAAAAGTCTACGTCGTCATCTATTCAAATCATCTAAGCTATCGTCGCTTTGTTTATTTGTGTTTCTCGTTGTGCAACAATTCCAAAACGCGTACTTTCGATATTTTGGCAACAAGCCATGCCAAACTGCCGAATGGATTCTCCATCATGCGAAAATGCGAAAAACGTGATGTTCCAAGTTTCGAAAACACGTGAAGTCGTCATGATCGTTCACGTCATAATATTGTTTACAACTGTCGCGGGTAGTTAGATCATCGACGAGTTTGACTGCAATTTACAGGATCCACGATCGCTTTGAAATCGATATTTCGCCATATAAAGCGGCACGCGAAATTTATTATTGAATGCTTAAGTTGAAAATTTTCCAACAAATATGAAATCCAGAAACTCCGAAAATACCACTCTATTCATTCTCCTATGAATAATTTCACGTTTGCGCTAGAATTTCCTGAAGTGCGATAATTTAATAGTACACGTGTAAGCTTTTACTTAATGCCACAATCAAACCTTTTCGGACGGTAAAAAGCACTGATTCACTTTAAAGAATGAATTATAAAATTATCGAATTATCGAAAAATTAAAGGAGAGAAAATATTTACTAGAACTACTATTCACACATACGTGTCTACACGAGATATCAGAAGAATTGGATTAATTTCGGTTTCTCGATACAAGAGAGATCAGACAGAAGGCTAGCCTCACGGGTCCTCGCATATAAGCCTCTGGGTCACGATTATTTAAAGAACACGCGTTTCTATTTCAAATGTCTTGCCAGTTGCGTCTTCCGCCAGTTTCTTAACGAGTTTATATTACGGATTTGTGCAAATTTGCGCTGGATTTGCAAGTTTTAATCTAAAAATCTGAACGCGTTCTATGTCCTATCAATCATCACAATTTCTTTCACATCCACATTTCTTTCACAAAGCAATAGCAGTGCCTATCAATAAATAAGTATCAATAAATAAGTAGCACATTTTTTTTTTTTCAAAGAAATAGAGAATATGGTATCATAAAAATACTAATCGAAGCTTGTAGTTTGAAAATGCTCGCGGAGGAAGTGCGCGATTTAGATTATTTAAAGACAATCAAACGAAGATCGATACTTGCCAAGAGAATTTTCGAGACTTTCTTTCTTTAGGAACGAAGGGGAGTATACTATATTTCTTTTTATCTATTTTTCAATACAACTACTACAATCTTTCACGACACTTTTAAGACAATGTTCTTTTATTCCCTTTACCATGCGTTAAAATCAAGGAGTCTTACCAAATAAGAGTAATCGCCAACAGACTGATCTAAGATACAAAGTTGCAGATATAAATGTTCGTCGAGCATGAACAATACAGTGATTGGAAAAATTGGCCACATAACGACTAACAATTGGCGCGTGAATGTTGCTGGTAATGACAAAACATCATTTCTAGGTTTCTCAGTGAGAGAACATTTGCAATGGATCAGAATACAAATGTGAAAGAATTAAGTGTATAAAAACACTAAAAAATAATTTCGATAAACGGAAAGACAATAACTTTGTGAATATTCACAAGTGAAAACGTTTGTAAAAGACGACGAAAGTAAAAATATTTATCGTTTTGTAGAGTGTACCGAAACCAGAAGCGAAGCCCTCGACAGATGCACAGCCGCGTAAACAGAGCAAGATCACAATAATTCCGTCACAGCCTAAAAGCGAAAAGAATACGAGCAGTCAACCGGCACCGACGAAGCTCCGCGAGAATGGACGACAAGAGCCAAATTCGAGGCCACAGCTCGAACGACAGGTTCGAATCGAGAGGTCTCGATCTCGAGGTGACACAATACCTCTCTCCAAGAGTGAGAGCACCACAGGTAACAGCATGAATCTCTCCGCAATATCTTCTCAAACAAATCCTGAAAAAGAATTGATAGTATTACAAACAAACATTATTAAAATTATCAGATTCTAATCGATACGTTTAATATTATACCAACACACAACAATCATCTAATTTTAGATACGATAAATAATTCCAACCACTTACCTTTCTTTTTTTTCTCAGAGTAACGATCCCCTGTTAAACATAAAAAAAACACACAGACACACACACACACACACACAAAAATTCGCGACACCACTTGGCCACAATAAAAATAAAGTTTTCGTATAAATAGGAGCGCCGACATTATCGAAAAGCTCGTCGAGGGCAGCGATCCCGCCACCACCACCTCCAAGACCTCCGCCACCGCCTCCGAGTAGAACGATTCTGAAAGATCTTCCACCGCTGAACGAAGGGCAACAGGAAAAACTAGAAATGTTGAAACAGAGGCCACGAAAACGTCCTGACTGGGCGAGCATGATGAAGGAAGTCGAAAGCGGGAAGAGATTGAGGCACGTGAAATGCAACGACAGGAGTGCGCCCTTGATCGAGAGGGTGAACAAGGTTACAGCTGATCCAGCAGGTGATCGTCGAACGAACTTCGATTCTACTCAGATTTCCCTTGGGCGACTCTCTTAAAACGAGGAATCGGTTTCAACGTTGTTGATCGATTAGTCGCTAGTAGAAAACCCTTTTGTTTCGTTTCGCCCCGCTTGAACCCTCGTTTTACCCTTGTGAATGTCGATCCGAAGGGGTATATACGTCGACGAGTGTAATTAATTAAATTGTTAATGAGCTTTCATTCAATCAGCTTTTGTTTCTGAACTGTGATATGACTTGTTTGTAGTACACACAGTAGTTATTGTTCTGATCCCGTTCTCCTGCAAAGGAACCCCCCTCGTCTGTAGCTGAATAATACTATTATCGTTGAATTAACTATTGTCTACGTGTTCAGTGGGTTTTTTTACCAACTTTCCCTTTTTCTCCTGTTTCCTTTATCCCGTAAATGAACTTTAAAACTGGTTACTTCGAATATTCTATCTCGAAGTCTGATAACGAATCATGGAAATTAGAAATTATATTGATATGTGTATTAAATGGTTGATATGTGTTAGTCGTACTGATTGAGAATTTCTAACTAGGGATGGCACACTTTGTGTTCGAATCTGAAAAATCGAACATGCATAACCAATTGCTGAAGCAGATTCAGGAAGGTATCAAATTAAAGAAAGTACAGACCAATGACCGATCAAAACCAATGCTAGAGGGTTTGAGGAAATTCCGAAGGCAGCTGACGATAGAGGAACAAATGCAAAAAGCTGAAGAACCCACGGATGACTCTATTTCGGATGATATGGATGACATTGATGCCGTAAGGGATGACTTACAAAGTACTAAACAAATGCTTGCTCTTGAACTTAGAAATAAGGAGGCATTAGAAAGAGAAAACAAGAGATTACAAGTATGTCTCTTAGAATATTGTCAATTCTCGTAAAAGACAGTCCTAAGCTACTGACTTTCCTTCATGTCTTTTGCAGGCAAAAATTTTGAATCTTGAAGCAGAAGTTGAACATGCGAAATCTCAGAAAAGCGTCCAAGAACAAAGAAAGTATGATGAAAAAGTAACAGAATCGTTGAAAAAGGAAGCTCAGCAAGCAAGGAAGGATGCTGAGAAATTCGAAAAAGAGTATATGACTGTCTCAGAAGAGAAAGACCAGCTCAAAAATGAATTAGAGGAAATGAAAAGGATGTATGCTGCTTTAGAAAGACGAATGAAAGCTGGTATGGACTCGTTAATATTTGCGGCTATCTAACAATCATTTGCATACATACGTAATAATAAAAAATTGTGATCAATACTTAACAATGCTAATAACAAAAAATGTGATAAAGAACTAAATCTCTGATCTGATTTTTTCTCTGATTCGGTTTTTAGTTCTTTGTTAGTGCTAAATTGCTTTTGCTTATACTAATTTTGCTTCTTTATTAAACGCTTTGCAAACCAGAACAAGAGCTTGAGCCTGAGCCAATAATTGAGCTAGCAGATGATGGGGACGAAGCAGCTTGGTACAATGTTTCAGGAATGGCACTGGCTGGTTGTCCAAGTGCAAAAGATGTAGCAAAAATTGCTTCTCAAAAGAGCATAGATAAAAGAGAGCCAAGTGAAAGTGAAGAGGAAGAAGAAGAAAGCTCAGAGGAGGAGGAAGATGAGGAAGATGATCCAAAGGCAGCAGAAAAGCGATTGCAAAGAGAAATCAAACTTTTAACAACCAAGATTACAAATTTCAAGTGAGTAGTAATATATAATTAATTATATATATATATATGGTAAAGGAATTAATGATAAAATTGATTAAATAGGGACAAAGCAGTTAATGCCAGAAAAGAAAGACATGCATTGAAAGATCAAATTAAGCAACAACAAAAATTATTAAAAGAAGAAAAGAAGAAGTATAAACAACTTCAGAAAGAAGTTGACAAAATGGCTAAGTTAATGTCAGAAAGTGAAGATGATGATAAAGATGAAGAAGAAGAGGAAGAGGAGGAGGAAGAAACTGAGTCAGAAGAATCAGAATCTGAAGAATCTGAAGACGAAGAAACTGAAACAGAAGATGAAGATCAATCTATGGAAGGTCAAAGAAATATTTTGCAGGTAAATATTATTTACAAAATGTTATGTAATAAAATGTTAAGCAAGAATTTTTAGTTATATGTATATATACCTATATATATGTATTTTGACAGAAACAATCCAAGAAACACGAAGGACGTTTAGCTGCATTGAGAAAAGGTAATTATCTACTTAAAGCACAAGTTGATAGATTGAAAGATGATTTAGCAAAACAACGAGAAGCTAGTCTCACTCTACAAGAAGATCTTGACTCTGTGTTAGCAGAATTAGGTTAAGTTAATGTAAGAACATACATCTAAGAATGATTATGAACAATTGTATACATACACATATAAGTATTACATATGAAAATATAGAAAATTTTATGTCTGAAAAGCCAGACGCAACTTGTACACGCACACTCACCTAGCACCTTTTGTCGAAAATCTTACACTCAAAAAGAATTTTTGTTTAATCAACTACAGAGATAAAGATCTCCTATTTTGTAGTATCGATCAGTAAACGCACTAATTTGTTTTTTTTAGTATCTATGGTAAATATTCTATATGCGTAACGAACTAAAGAAAAAACATTAAAACAAAAGACAAAATCATGTAAATTTTCTATACAAACTTTACATCTATCGTAATATTCTTTGTAAACGTGAAAAACGTTTGTATGAAATTACAAATATTGTTTTTTTTGCTATCATATTGTTAAATATTTTTTAATAAAAACGATTATTATTCGATCAAGGTTTTATACAGGTTATTTAGTTATAAGTTAAAAATCAACACAACACTCACATGCTTGTAATTGAAATTAATCGACGAGCAGGTTATTTCCAGAATGTACAAGCTTTATTTTTTCAACGATGATATTTTTATTTAGCGTACACGATAACATGAATAATTATATTTATTACGACTTTAAAAAAAATCCAACTACCCATTCAAAGTAGTTTGAAAAAAAACGTATATATGACGTATGATAAAATCCCTAGAGATACTTCTTACATTGGCGTCGCCCGTTTACTTGTATATGGTTCACATTACGAACATATTATTATTATTATTAACAAATATATAAAATTCTTGTTTTGCAATTACATGTGTATTGAACAATTCTTCTTTCTTCTTTTTTCTGCTGCGCCAATCTTTCTACTAATAAGTACAATTGAAAGAGGAATGCGAAATATCGAAAATGATAATGAAGATGATAGCAATATTTTTAAAATTCGAAAATTATATTTGAAAATCAGATTACTGTTGTTCTTTTCTGAATTACATATTCTATACAATAGTGTTATAGTTTTAAAACATTATTTGTATCTTAAGTGTTTCTAGAATGTCTCAATTATAAAAATTGCATTTGTTATAAACAATTCAATAATAACGAGCATAATCAAACTGATTACATTGAAAAAATATGTTGCATTTTGGTGCAAGCAAGTAACGTTTCCTAGGAGACATTTTCAGGGAGATGATACAAACAATGTGAAATACTTCAACATTAGTTTGAAAGTGCAGGTAATTAAATTCTTATTGCTCGATATTATTATTATCACTCTCAAATTACGTACATACATGCACGTTGACAAAATGAAATGAAAATGTAAATTTATTTGAAAAAAAAAAAAAAGAAGGAAGTCACATATGTACATTCGTCTACATAAAAATTTTCGACATTACATTCAATATACATACATAACTGAGGTCGAAAATTAAAACGATCGTGTAATATACATGTTTTTCAGCGTAATGTTAATTATCTATCTAATATTGTGAAATAGTATAATCGAATATGTTTGCGCGTTTTCGTTTCTATAATTATGATTTGCATGATTAACAGGCTGCTTTGTAACTTTCGTGTCAATTAATAATTCTCATATTGGATATTCATCCAAACACACATACAAATAAATATACTTCTTTCTTTCGTAATATATTGGCGAATGATAAGCGCCAATATGCTAATCTGCATGTTTTTCGTAAGACTATAAATGTTAACACTTGCTTTCTTACCCGCATCTGTATTTTTACATCCATATAGAATTACAAAATAAATACTGAACGCTTGCAGTTTCAGCAAAAACGACAGTAAAAATTTCCATATCGATGTAAGTATTACATTTCGATTTCATAGAATACTGAATATTAAGCGAGTAATGATTTTCTTGCTTGATAAGGTTAGTGAAACCTAACATTTCGCTTTTGTAGAATTTCAGTATTAGGAATGCTAACCATTGCTACCTCTCGACGTATTTTATTTTCAACTAGTGCTTTGTATTTGTCATTTACAAATTTTTTTTTTTTAGAATCCGCATTACTTATTTAATATCCTGTATTCGTTAAACTATTTTTGAAGAATGCACAGAGCTATCCAGGCATAAAGGAAAACAGCATTTACCATAATAAAAAAAGCAGAAAGTAAAATATTTCTTGGTCATTTTAAATCGGATATAAATAGTGTTTTACTTTTTTTTCTTCGCCCAGATTGCACAGTGACATTGCTAAAACTGAACGTTATCAAATAGAAATCCTATACTAGTCAGGTCCATTTTCTTATATTATGAAGATGCGATATAATGCTAGTGGATTTTTGAGACAATAAATAATCATTGTTTGAAATCCAGTATTATGTTCATTGTCCAGTACTATGTCATTGTATGTATCATTTCTTCTAATTTTATGCAGTAACTGAATTACACTTGCAAAAAATCTACTTAATAACAGTAAAAAAAGAAAGGAAAAAAAGACCAAATACATTTTTTCATGTAACTTTAGTTTCTACTTTAATTTTTTTTTCTTCTACCAATTTAACATCAGTTACATGCAAATTATGAATACTTTTTGCTGCAAACTTAATTACAGACTGAGTTGAGACTTGAGTTGTATGTCTGAGATCTAAACGTTTAAGCACTTTACATCTTGCCAAATGATCTAACGTTGTTTCCGTAAGTAATCTACAATTTGCCAAATTCAGTGATGCTAGGTTCATTACTGCTTGTGCTGGTGGAGTTGCTAATTGAGCAACACCAGCATCAGTAACTCGACCACAAGAAGAAAGATCTAATGTCTCGAGATAGGGTAAATGTTGAACTATATATCTCAAAGCTACATCAGTTATATCACATCCAGCCAAAGATAAATTTTTAAGATGTTTTAATCTTGAAGTTTTATCAATTAAACCAGGTCTCGAATCTGTAGGTGGACTGAGAACTTCTCTCAAACTTGAATCATTTAGTCCAGATATATGACTTAGATTTAAGGTAACAAGTGGTGGACAGGTGCAAGATCGTAAAGCACAGACTCCAGTCCATGTACAACCTTGTAGAGACAATGTTCTAAGTTGTGGTAATCTACTTAATAGCCAAGCTAATTGTCTTTTAGTAACATTTGTCCAGTCAAGGGACAGATTTTCTGGTTGGCGGCGTATTATACCAGTTAAATGTAAAGCTGTTAGATGGGAATGAGACATATCCAATTTTCTCCACAAACTAGGATCTATGCTATATCTGGCCCATGTACGGCAAACCAAGGCACAATTCGCCAGGTCCTTTGCATTTAAAAATCTAAAAATAGCAAGTAATGCTGTCTTGTCATATGCTAAAGATTGTCCATTAAAATCGGGCCCTGGTTTTTGAACAGGTGAAAGTGGAACAGGCCTAACCACCACGTGGGGCCTCTTCAATGACTTACTACTTGAACCAGTTAATTGTACAGCTAATTGTGTACGCAAAGCTGTTCGCTGTTCACCCTCAGCCGGTTCTCTGTCATTCCATGCCTGGAATTTTTTGTATAGAAACCATGAATTTTCATATTCTTAGACCGTTTCAGATTCCATTTGGGGACTTACATCGCTGGGATTGGATCTTGAACGTTTACTTGGTGTGGCATCTCTTTCAGAATCTGTTGTGGGTGCTGATGAAGCTGCACTAGATACGGAAAGTTTTCGAGCACGAGCCTTAAGTTGTCGTGGTCTACAATCTAGATTTCGACCGCTTTCACAACACTTGGGACATTCCCAACTATTCGGTAAATCATCGCTAACGGTAATGGTTTGGGGATCCAAACCTATGCATTCGGGATGCACGATATCGAAGCATATTGAGCACTCTACTAAACTCGAAGGAGCTGTAGGTGTTGGCTTCCCTGTATTAAAAATTGAAAAATGAAGTGTCTTTATTTATTACATTAACGATAAAATAATGGCGCATTAAAAATGAAGAAAAAAAAGTGAGTAAGTACCCATTAATGGCCCAGGCGATTGACCCCAGCCGTCTAATCCACAAACTTTACAAGCTGCAGTAACTGGAAGCATAGGCCTCAAACATTGCCTCATTAAACAGGTCTGTTTGGCACGACCACTTCCACCAAATTTTACCATATCGTGACAGTAGATACATTCTCCACAATCAGTTCTTGTACATGCTTCACACTTCTTACACCTAGTACGTCTTCGTCGTGAAAAAGGTCTTTCGGATTTTTCTTGAGAGTGATGTCTCTGAATCTTTGTAAAGCTTTTCTTAGTTATCCTTAAACGTTCCTGTTAAACAGTAATAAAATGAGATATGTATATACACGAAGAAATAGATATCATTAATAACATTTACTATTTTATACATACTCTATCAGCAATTGTTAAAGATGGTGGTGGTGGTAAAACAGGATTTCCTGTTACAGCTGCTTCTGGATTATCATGTCTATGTTGTTCAACTAGACATCGAACATCATGAATTAAGGCAACGGGATCACGAATTAGCTCAGGCACATTCTTTTTAGTAGAAGGTAGTGAATGTAAATACATAACTATTGCTTTTAAACCATGCAATTCAAATGGAGTTAGATGTATATGTTGGTGGTGTTGTGGCACTGAATGTTGACGTTGTGATTCAGAAATATCCAAGTGACTTCTGCCTAGAAGAACATGAACATATCTCTCCAAAACATACCTGCAATAAATAACAAAAAATCGCTGTATAGATAATGCAACAAAATTCTTTTGAAACATTTCAATAGTTTATCATACCATAACATTTCAGTAAAAAATGGATATCTGAATTTTTGTGGTACTTTAGTATGTTCTTCTACTTGTGCAACTTTTAATTGCTTTTCAATACCAAAACTGTGTAAAAAATTTCCTCCAAATACTAAAGAATCTTGAGGAGTATACACAGCATGAATCCACCCAGTTGGAATAAACAAAGTCATGCCAGCAGTTAAAGTTATCCTACCACATCTATCAACCATATCGCCAAAGAACACATCAGATTGTTTACCACTTAATACCCATTCTTGGTAAAGTGACAAATTTTTTTCAGTAGGAGGAATAAGCCAAAATATCTTTCCACCTCTCAAAATGTGATACCAAACACTGGTTCCACCAAAATCTACATGGAAGTCTGTATAACAACCTTTTACAGACATGAGACAATATTTTTGCACTTTTGGATACATCATATCTTCTAATAAATTTGTGGATTCTACTTGTGCCTCTTTTAAATGTCTTGGCCATACAACATCTACCCAATCAATCAATCGTACTAATTCAGGTGATTGTACATAATTCTCTAATTTAGTATGGCTAAACTCTAATGAAATTACATTCAGCAGCCGTTCTTTGTTAGGATCTTCATAATACTTTTGCCATTCTTTCATTGTCATATCTTCATTCTTTTGTGTATTAACATCCATTACATCTAATATTCTTTTGGAACCTGAAATATTATTCACAATAATTATATCTGAAAATCCATGTATGAAATGAAATATGTTTAATTAAATAAAACATACCAACGCAAGTTCTGACATCATTTACAGTAAAATTCGAACTGGGAACTCTTAATCCTAATCCAGATTTGTCTCTAAAGAGTAACGGTATGCTAAGACCATGTTTTTGCAAGTATGCTAAATTTAATTCCGGACCAGCCATTTCACGAAATAAACCGGTGAAATTATTAAGGTTGTATCTGTCACATTCGATTTTTTCATCAAGTTGGAAAGTTCTACGACCCTCAATTTCTTCATCGCCTATTGTCCAATCGTCTGTATATAATTTTCGGGTTCTTTCCCGCTATGATAAAATTCGTAAGAAATAAAAAATTTTTATCAAAATTTTACAGAAACTTCATATAAAATAATTAGAATTGACGCTAAATAAGAAAGTTATGTTTGGTTTGTTTACCAATTGACGCCTTTTTGGCAGAGAAGTGGAGTCATCGGCCATTGCAGACATGCTGTCAGAAACGTATCGCCGAAAACTCATGGAATATTCAATGTATATTATCCTTTAAAGGTCAAAACAGTTCCTTTAATATTATATAAACACAATTCCGTTTATTATTTACATGTCACGCACAAAAGCCTAATATTAACATCGAACTTTTCTTCAACTGTACTTCTTCAGTAAAATGGATCGCCATTTTGTTGCCGGTCAATGCTACCAATATGAGCTATAACAAGTATCTAGTTATTTTATATAATATTGTATTTTATATATAAATTAAAAAAATTTTATACTCTCTTATTTTTATATAAAATTATAATATAATAAATTATACATTTTTCAAATTTATTACAATTGTGTAGTTTTTAATTACATATTGTGCAAGATAACAGCAATGCTCTAGAGATTTTGTGTCGTTTTAGAGAACTATTGATGTGTCCTATATTACAAGTGTTAAGTTCTAGTACTATTACAACGTATGGATACTTTTTGACAATTTAGAGTTAGAAATTGAATGTTGACATATTTATTTGCAATATGGTGTTTTAAATCTTTTATTTCTCTATGTAGTCACAAAATATTAATCATTGACATTGTAAAGATATCTTTATTATAAAGTTTAGAATATTTATTAAAGTGAAAGAAAGTTTCAAAAAATAAAGTTTTCAATAAACGAATTAATCATGATGAGCCTTCGTGACAAGCAAATAAATGCTTTAAAACTCATGTTGAATTTGAATCAACCAGAACAGAAATTAGAAGAAGCAATACCAGTATGGAAAGTTTTAATTTATGATAGACTTGGACAGGATATTATTTCACCATTAATATCTGTAAAAGAGTTGAGAGAACTTGGTATTACACTTCATATGCAGTTACATTCCGACAGAGATTCTATTCCTGAAGTGCCAGCTATTTACTTTTGTGCACCTACTGATGAAAACCTTGGCAGGATTGGTCAAGATTTACAGAACGGTTTATATGATATTTATCATTTAAATTTTATATCACCGATAACCAGGCAAAAAATGGAAGATTTAGCAGCTGCTGCATTGCTTGGAGGTGTAGTATCAAATATTCATAAAGTATTTGATCAGTATTTAAATTTTATATCACTGGAGGATGATTTATTTATTCTTAGACATCAAAATAGTGATATCATATCATATCATGCGATTAATCGGGGTGAAGTGAAAGATACTGAAATGGAATCTGTAATGGAAATTATAGTTGACTGTCTGTTCTCTGTATTTGTTACATTGGGCACTGTTCCAGTTATAAGGTGTCCAAGAGGAAATGCTGCAGAAATGGTTGCTAAAATGATTGAGAAAAAGTTAAGGGAGAATGTTTGGGATACAAGAAATAATTTATTTGAAAGTGAAACAACTGGTCATTACAATTTTCAAAGACCACTTTTAATTATATTGGACCGTAATGTAGACATGGCTACACCATTACATCATACGTGGACTTATCAAGCATTGGCACATGATGTATTAGAAATGGCACTGAATAGACTTGTCGTTGAGGAAAATGTAGGAAGGTCTCCTGCAGGAGGAACACGTTCGAAGACTAGAGCTTATGAACTAGATAATAGAGATAGATTTTGGTGCCAACATAAAGGCAGTCCATTCCCTAGAGTAGCTGAAGCTATACAGGAAGAATTAGAACAGTATCGTACTTTTGAAGATGATGTTAAAAAGCTCAAATCATCTATGGGTATTGATAACGATAGTGAAGTGGCATTGTCAATGGTTTCCAATAATACAGCTCGTTTGACAAATGCTGTTAATAATTTGCCACAACTTTTGGAAATGAAACGATTAATAGATATGCATACGTCAATTGCAACAGGTATTTTGAATTTTATAAAGTCTAGAAGACTTGATACATTTTTTGAATTAGAAGAAAAAATAATGAGCAAACAAACATTGGATAGAAGTGTATTAGAAACAATAAGTGATCCAGATTGTGGTACTTCAGAAGATAAATTACGTCTTGCTATTATATATTATATTTGCACAAATATGTCAGACAGTGAATATAGCAAACTTGAAGCAGCATTATCTGCTGCAGGATGTGACTTAAATCCTTTGATATACATAAAACGATTAAGAAGTTACACTAGAATAGCAGAAATCCAAAACAGTTATGAAGGTGGTGGAACTAAAACAGTTAGTATGTTTTCAAAACTAATGAATCAAGGATCATCTTTTGTAATGGAAGGGGTAAAAAATTTAGTTGTTAAGAAACATAATTTACCAGTCACAAAAATAGTTGATGAATTAATGGAATCAAGACAGTCATCCCAAACTGATGATTATTGTTATTTAGATCCAAAACAATTAAAACATACAGAGCAAATGCCAAAGAATAGACCTACATTCCAAGATGTAATTGTTTTTATAGTTGGTGGTGGAAATTACATAGAATATCAAAACTTAGTGGACTATGTAAAACAAAAAAGTGGGGCTGGGGTTAATAAACGAATCACATATGGTTCTACAACATTTATTAATGCGAAACAATTACTAAAACAACTCTCACTCTTGGGACAGGAAGTTCACTCGTAAAATTTGCATATTATACAATAAATACCCAATAAATATTTATGTCCTACTTTCTTATAGCGTACAGTAATTTTTCATATTGCTGTTATTGATTCCCTGTAAAAATGTAAAATAAATAAAATACATTTAATTATTTTAGATATAATTTTTCTAATTGTATTTACCTGTCATTGAATTTGTGGCCAACCATCAAGATGTGCTAAATAAAAAATCTAGGGATTTTTTGCTAGAAAAGAAACAAACCTGTATTTTAAATTGTTTGATCAATGAATCATAGATACAATTAAACTCGTTTCGATTGAAAATTTGACGATTGTCGTATTAAAATATTCATTTTTATGAACATCATTTTATGCTAAATTAAAATGGCTACCGTACAAGAAGAAATAAAAAATTTTGTTAAACGAGCTACTATCACAACAAACTCGCAAGAAGCTGTTACAGAATACTTCCTGTCGAAGCAACAAGATCGTAACATTAAGTAACGTAACAAAGAAATTATTTCATATAATCAATTTATGATACATTACAAATATATTTTTTGAATTCTTTTATTTTCAGTTCGATAACAATTAGGAAACTGATGTAAAATTCTATGAAAAAGGTTGTCAAAGTATCTTATTTTTATGCTTTTTCTTTTATATAATTCAAAAAGAAGCTAACATTTCCAAAGATATGTGAGTTGTGTCTTTTATGTATTAGAAAGTATCCAGAATGGGATAAGCCAAGAGTTTACCCGGCATTAGAAGTTGTTAGAGCGCATTGTGAGTTAGCAAAAACTGAGGAGAGATTACGTGCAAAATGGGCCGAACAAGAGAAAAAGCGGAAATTCATGGACGAGCAATGGAACGAGATGAGACGTCAGGAATTGGTCCTCCGAGAATCATTTATAAAGTTCAATAGATTCGTGAGGGAAAATCAAGAAAAACGTGATCGTGCGGATACCAAAATTAAAGAAGAACGCGACCGTCAAGCACATAGGCTGGAAGAAGTAATATATTACAAAATAATAAAAAAATTTTATAAATTCTTTTAATAAAAAGATTATTTACATAATACTGCAAATCTAATCCTGTTTATTTAGCGGAAGATATATTTTTCAGATAAAAGAACTCGAAGAAAAATTACTCTATATGAATGATATTCGAGATAGGATGAAAAAACATGTGGCAGAATATAAAAAGTATCAAGATTATTTAGACAGGGTCATTATCGAAACAGGAGAATTTCATTCGATTTCTGAGATTTTTAATCGTTACGAAACTTTAATTGAAGCACGATCAATCTTGTCTGAACATCAGGATAAAAACCTTGAGTTGTTAGAAGAAAAGGGAACAGAAATGGTAAACAGCTTTCTTAATATATAATTTATTGGTCTTTCATTTATAATTATATAATGGATTTGATGCGCATCTCTTTCTCTACAGCATCATATGACAGAGTCAAAGTCACAAAAAATTATGACATTGAATAATAAATTAGCGCAACTACAAGCAAGACGCGATAGGGCGGAAGTGCAAGCTCGTAAATGGGAAACAATCGTAGCTGAAATAAAAGTAACTGCGGCGGAGAAAAATTTAGAGCACACGCAAGTAAAAACGTGTTGTTGGAATCTATATCAACAGATCTGCAAGAGAAAGGATATTCCCGTGACCGTAAGCAAAGACGATGTCGAACAACAGTTAGATTATATCAAGCGAACCATCCTTGAATTAAAACGAATCATAAAAGTTGCAAAAAAACACGCGACAAAGTAAGAGAATCATTTTACTTGAAATTACTACTTGTAAATAAATATTCTAGAGAAATAAAAAATATATATACTGATAAGTATCTTACTACTGTTACTAAAGGAATAGATGAAAATTTACGGGAGACTAGTTTTGAGAGTTGCATTATTATATTGAGGATGCAGCCAATTACCTTGTACATACTTCGTAAATGTTAATGATTGTGTACCCAATTTACGGGCTTTCTGATACCATTTTATTGATATCGCTTTTGTATGATTTTTCTAGCTGCCGGTAAATGGCAACTAGATATATTATGTAGGAGTTCCGAGTAATCTTCTTCGAGTCTTTGCTTCAACTTTTTAGTAGCTTCATTGCGCGTTAATGGTTGTTCCAAACCTTCGGATACGATTTGTAATTTTTCTTTTTCAACACATCTGTATTGATTCAATAGTTGTCTCAACAAATATTCGTCATAAATTTTACATTAAGAAAAGTTAAAAGAACATTAAAAAATAAAAAAAATATTCGAGGATAGGAGGAATAATAAAGGAACTGGGTAAAAGAGTAGGAATCAGAGGACTTACAAGGCACAAGGTTGGGTAGAGGCGATTTGTTCAATATGGGGTACTTTTAATCTGGGTTTTCTTTCTTCATCCAGTCGTAGATATTGCGTTTTGGTAGCTTTGTCCAACCAATATACTTTGTGGAACATTTGCGTAATACGTTTTTCAATGATACCTAAATATAACATAACATTGCTCGTTGTTATCTGTTCATGATCACCTAATAGTTGTAAAATCGGAGAATTGTCACAACGAATCGCTTTAAAGAGAGAATCTATTCCTTTTAATAATTTCTCTATTACATCATCACACTGAAATAAATAGTAGAACAATTAAAGAAAAATACTTAATTTTGAAGAAATTCAATTTCGTGCATTAGATTTTTAATAGTGGACAACATTAGTAAGGAATTGTAACCTGTATTAGATTTTCTTCAGCTGCATCAGCGAGAGCGGTTTGATCTTCAAGTTCTTTTTTGAGTTTCTCTAATGTTTCTGCCTGTTCTCGATTACTAAGTTCATTCATAATATGTGCATTTTGTATAGCCGTTGTCAACTGAGCCATTCTTAATTGGAGACTCTCTAGTTCATCGTTCAATTCATTCACATAACTGAATAAAGCAAAGTTTTCTTCCTCTTGTTTGATAAAGTGTGCTATGAGTTTGTCAATATCTTGCTCACCTACAGAAATTAAGATTGTAAAAAATTGATTACTTTTGAACGTTAATGTTGAATATATTCTGTATCGCGATATATATTTAAAAGATGAAAAGCACCAATGAATTCTTTAATCATTTGTAAAATATGTTTATAATCCTCAATCATATTTTGTTTTTCTTCTATTTTTGCTTTCCTCTCAGCAGCACGTTTTGCATTCAAATCAGCCATTTCACGATATTGTCCTTTCACACCAAGAAATTCTTGCAATTTCATTTCATTATCCATCGTCCTTTGTAATTCGCACATTTCTGAGACGTGTGTTTTTAGATCTCTTAATCCCCTTTAAAGAAAAAAATATTTTAATTTTGTTCGAAAGATTGTGTACTCGGAGGAAGCAAGAAAAGTGTAAGTCAATTAATGATCCGACAAATAAAATATTGGATAACCGATATAGAAGCAAGATTGCAGGATGTTATCACGCGCCATTGATTTCCGATCGTTACTCTTGGTTCCGAGTTTCTAATTCAACGATGGATAATCTATACTACGTGAAATACGAATAACTTTCAGGTCATTAATGTAATTCTTAGAGTTATGGGGACAACGATCCAATCTTTTCAACTTTCGCAACTAAACTTGTTGTTGCTAAGAGTGCCGTGAAACTTGCGGCAACAGTACTAAGTACGTTTCTATGTAGGTTCATTTTATGCTAATATTTAAGATAAAAGATTCGTTAAGAATCCACCTTTCACGAAGAGCTTGAATCTTGTTCAATTCTTCATCTCGTTGATTGAACGCGATGGTAGCTTGTTCTATTAAATCATTGATAATTTGCTTTCCAGTGTTCAACTGATTAATTAATTTATTCCAAAGTGCTGTGAACTGCATTCTTTCCTTCAGCATGTCTTCGATTTCGTTTCGAAGTTTCGTATTTTGAGAAACTGCAATATTAAATCTTTTCGTTGCTACTTCAAGTCGATTTTCCAATATATGAATTATCTTATCTTGTCGTATAGCTATATCCCTCAGTTGGATGTCGCTCTTAATTTTTGTTTTCAGACTGGCAATTTCGTTTGATAACTGGAACAAAGCATTAATAATATTGTTTTATTGTGAAACATTGTTTGAAACAATGTTTGAAATCAAGTGAATAATTGATAAACCTTGTGGATTTCATTATCGAGCTCTACTATTTCCTGTTTCTCTGTCCTTATCATTTCATCATATTTTGTTTGCATTGTTAAAGTACACTTTAGTTTTTCATCCATTTCTTTATCTTTACGAGCAAACGTTTTCGAGGTTGCAGTTTTAATACGAATAACGAGCTCCGCTTTTTCATACTCCAAACGATCAATCATGTTCTTTTGATTGTGCAGTTGTAATTTCGCATCCTTTGAACAAGCATCTCGATCATTCTCCATTATCCTATACTGCCTTTTCAATCTTGAAAGTTCAGCTAGAGCTATCGTCTCAAGCTCTACCTCGTCCGGTATACGTTGCACTTTGTGCGCCATTATGAGGTTTTATTTTCAATAATTACAACCTTTCAAAATATAATACAATTTTGTTAATTTATTTTCTCTAAATGTTGATTTTTTATTTCTTTCAATGTACAATAAAAATACACGTTACATCTAGTCTATAATGTTTTCAAAGTTTATTTATTGAACAAATTTTCTTACAGGCTATACACTACTTGCTGTTTGAGATCGTTTTCACCGATTGACATCTAACTGTAGAGGTTAGTGTGAGACTCACTATTTATTAAACATTTATAAACAGTTGCGCTCGATGTATCCGAGATTTTTCTGGAAGTTGGCAATGTCCACGTCGATATTCTCCTCACCGTCCACGTAGATGATCTTTAGGATCCACGTAGGAGAGGAAAACACTTTCCCAATGTCGATGACGTTCAACGGCGACATTTGAGAAAGACATCTGCCACCCTGTATAGCTCTGCCAGCTGTACGTGCAGCACCGTTGTTCTTGTTGGTGCTTCCGGTTGCCAAGCACCCTCTCAGGAATGTATAGTAACAAGGATCTTGGTTTCGTAGAATAGCGAAATATTTTAAGTGATTTTTTTTTTGGTTATTTGTGGCCAGAAATAGATAAAAAAAAAACGCAAATGATTTAAAAATTAACAACAAAAGAATTAAGGCGTTTTTGTTGAATATCACAGTAATTATTTGCTTCTTCCGATAAAATCAGTTATTTGAAACACCACTAGTGTAAGTCGTTTAATGTTTATTAAAAGTTGGATACACAATTATACTGCTAAATAGAACGTTTAATGTCGGACATCTTCCAGTATTAATTACATATTTTAATCGCTAATGAATGGCGTCATGACGAGCGAATATTTAAAAAAAAAAAAAGAAAGATCCAAATCTCATTACATACTTTTCCTTCAATCGATTGATTACTATGCAGTTCATAAAGTGCTGTATAACAACGTGAGTTCCTTTCTTTCGCGAAGATGCCTCTTTTTTTTTTTCATTCGTTCGTTCAATTTCACATTGGAATTACAGTGAAACTGTTCGACATGCATTTTCTAACTCTCGAAAGAGTTCGGTTATTTTGTGCTATATTAATGTTACATTCTGTACAACTTAACGTATCTTTTCTGCGCGAAATGGCGCTATATTAATCTGCGATTAACATAGAAAAGAAAGTAGTAGAAATTTCAACATTTATTTTAACATAACACATCGATAAACAACAGAGGAGGATCGTGTGTTAAACACGATCCATAGATTTCGTGAGATCGAGTCAGGTGGCGGTTCGACCAGGTGGGTCAAGTGGTGGGGATAACGTTGGTGATGGATACAGCCAAGGGAGAGGTTAGTATGCCTTCAGAGGGAAAGGTCGGCAGGTCGATTGTGTCGTGTTGTCGTATAAAACCCTGTCACACTATATTTTTTTTTTCTATTTTCCCGCGTTTTATTTTCCCGCTACGATTATTACGTTATCCCAAAAAGAAGAGTGACTATCAGTGTGCACACCACGCGGGATAAACGTGAATTACTCCAAAAAAATAATCGAATGCGATAACCAAGCGTCGGTGGCGATACGTACGATCAAAAATCGAGATAATTACGTTGGTGGATCGAATTTAGCAGTGCGAGTGAACGTTTTCGTAGCGGAACGGGTCTGAGCAATAGAACGAATTACTTTCAGTCGGAGCCACAGAGGTGGGAGGATTTCTACTTGGCTGAGGAGCACGGCGCACGATTCCGTAATATTTATTTTCTACTGGCGGCTAGTGAGTCATTACCTGGCCGACCACGGTGCGGCGAGCTGGTCGCCTCGCGTGTCCGTGTCCTTCTGCGCAAACAGTGAGTTCACGGTGACGCTACGAGCCGCTCGAGGTTCTTCTGTACAGAAAGGACATACAAATTCGTCCACGAATTCGGGAATATAAGGAAGGAAAGAAGGAGGCGAGAAGGAAACCTTGTTGTCCTTCCACAGTGATCGAATCGATTTCATCGCGGACCAAGTGCAAAATAGAATGGAATACGAGAGTGTCGAATTCGCTGTGCAAGATGTTCCGAACCACTGACGTCACATTTATCGAAGGATAACTGAAAATAAGTCTGTCATGCTGCGAGGATTATACGTCGATATCCGTAAAAGTGAATCGGAAAATACGATCGACAGCAGACTCTGATATTCCTTGACGTGTCGGTCTAATGTCTAACGTCGAGTACCAAGGTAGCACGTTGAAATTTTACTGGCAGCCGAATGCAATTTGTGAATCGATCAGTTGTTATGTTATGAGCAGTGCGGCAATTTCTGCGTGTATGCCGTACCTGGAAACGATCGCGAGCAGGACGGTAGAGGGGTTACGTCCGTACATTATACCCATGCTGATCGTTTCGAAGCGCGGTTACATTGTTGACTTTCTATCGGAGAGCCAGGGATCGTTGCTGCTTCTACGTTCGCGTGTAGTAACGAGGAAACGGAGCAGAACAACGGAATTAGTCCCGTAACGTTTCACCTCGTTTTTTTCACGCGTACGAGATGTTGCATTGACAATTGATCGACAAACGATCAGTCGAATGTCGATCGCAGTCAACGTGTAATTCACTCGATTCGTGTGTTGCGGCTTTTTGTTTTTCTGATCGCGTTGTGAGTACTTAGAAGTGAGTACGCGCGTGTACGTGTAGTGCGTCGAATCGCGTGTATTGCCTCACGATTGATGGAAGCGTTCGAATATAATCGTCAAATAATTAAGTCGGCGAATGTGATCACAGCTGATCGGGAGGAGACTTTACTTGATCGGCGAGAAAACCTGTTTGGATTCCGATGTAACGTGCACGAGAGAGAAAAAGTGAGCCTCTACACTACGTGTCTCTACTATCGCACACGTCGTGCAATTTATTTACAATAATCGAAGCTGTGACTCACGTACAGTTGTCGCTGCTTTCGTTACGCAATCGTGTATCTCGAAATGAATTGAGTTGAATTCTGAATATTGAGACAACCAGGCAAAATTTCTGAATCGCAGAAAGAAAAGTTACAGTTTCTACGGTTTGTTGAGAGATCGATGCAATACCGATCGTCTGGATACCATATGCGACGATTCAATGAAAAACGAATATCGAACAGCCTTCAGCGACATTATTTCTCGCATATGATCGATTTTAGATATGCATTTACTTATCAATGTCGTTCACTATCCAAACAAGTTCCGCCTCGTACGTGACGTACAATCTACGCTACTTCTTTTCGATTGTTGACGATTGGCGTATATACCCGCATTCTGAATGTTACAAATGACTTTGACGCGTGGACGATCGACCACCTGGTTTTGCGTGTGTCATTATTACGAACGACGATAAAGGTCACGCGTTACTCTGGCACGTGACACTTGTCGAGCACATAACGACTCGCGAGCACGATGCTGCCGAAAAAGGACGGCCATCCAGAGCCGTACGCTCTAGAGGACATGATATCCGATCTCCAAGCGCGACGAAATTCCTTCGACCAGGAGGACCTCGAGGATCCGGTGGAACTTCTGAAGAAACGCGACAGGGACCTTGTTTTAGCGGCAGAATTGGGGAAAGCGCTTTTGGAAAGGAACCAGGAATTAACTAGGCAGAGTGAAATCCTCGTTGAGGAGTACTCGTCAAAATTAGAGGTGAGTTTCTACGACGCTTCGTTTCGACGTTAATCCGTTGGAATAACTTATTTCGCTCGAAGCATTCTATTCTCGTTACTAGACTTCGTTAATCGATACTTGAATCAAAACTTCAAGAGAAAGAGATGACTTGTGCGAGACGTTTATAATAACTTTCAACACGGTGCAAATTTTCCATTGCGTGCCGTGGAAAGAATTGTCCAGTAATAAACGTACCAAATTATATCGTGAGAGATAACGCGTTTGATAATTGTGCACGATCAAGGTAGCTTGTTTAATCAGAAGGAAAAATAAAATCTGTACGAGACGATAAAATGTGTGATTGTCGCGCGACGTAGGTTTTTCATTGAAATCGATGTATGGTACGGCTGAAAGTGACGCGACGTAATAATTCGTCGGAAGATTAACGGCACCGATTCGCGTTGCGTAAAGGAAGGTTTTATTAGATTAATCGTGGAGGCGTGGCTTGCCTCTAGAGTTCCCACACAGACCGGTTACACGTCGTTTCATTACGCTGAAAGCTCGTATCAAAGGAGTCGCCGTATCATCTCGTATTAATAGAATAAAGCCTCTAACTAATCTATGAATAGCGAAGAGTTATACGACGCGACGATTCCGCGCGTAAATCGTTAAAAAAAGAACCTAATCGTTCGTCCTTACTCCAAATCGTACTAAAATATTATCTTTTCACAATTATTCTTATCGTAAAAGCTCTCTTAACCTGTTTACTGCGTCTCACCTGTTTACTGAGACTGCGTGTATTTTTACTATACGTGCGTGATAAATCAATTTGATCCCACGAAGTGAAGTAAAAATCATGCGATTTTGAAAGAAAAGTTTCGTAATGATGCGAAGTTTTGTAATATCGTAGTAGATCTTGTTCATATAACATTTGCAGCATAAAATAAAAACAAAAAAAAAAAGAAGAAAATACCAAAATTGCAATGTAGGACAGTAAAAACTCGACCAGTAGTAAATATTTCATATTCAAGCGTTCGATTGGGATTCGAACGTTTCCCGAAATAGTTGGAGTAGCTGCCACAAGCGGCGACCTATTTACTAGCGAGTCAGAAGCGAATATTGTCCGATTTCCCAGGAACGAATCGGGGGACGAGAAGAGAAAAGAAGAGAGAAGAGAGGAAAGAACGGAGAGGAAAGAACGAGAAAAATGAAAGTCGAAATGCACGCTTGCGAGCAGATAAAACGTTTCTCCGCGGATTTCGCTGGAATCGGGCCACGGGGCACGACTCTGAATTTTAAATGTACTTTTTACGATCGTCGGTGCGATGGCGATCCGAGATCGTGGCGAACGATAAATTTATCTGCGAGAACTAATGGGAATGCTTGCTGACATTGAGGGCCGCGCCATTCGTTGATAAAACTCGTCGTCACGTTTGCCGATTTCATTTTTCACCTTGTCGCTTTCGCGTTCGAGGCGACGCTTTTGTTTCGCGATCGAACGACAGGTTACTTTTCTCTTTCGACGTCCCGATATGGCTGCGATCGACAGCTGTTCAGGAATAAATAAAAAAAAAAAAAAAAAAAACAAGAAAAAGATTTCACACGATACGCTCTTGCGTCTCGTATCTATAAAACCATGCAGAGTACATTTCAATTTTTTGTACGAGAACGCGATGAATCATACGTTTCATTTTCACGGCAGAGTAGTTTCAAATTGTGCTTCTCTGAAAGAAACACATCATCAAATTGACAGGTATGTTAATAAATTTTGCAAGCTTCTCGTTGTTCTCATCGCTAGTTTTACTCGAGCCGAGTCACTTTCGTGTGTCGTGTAACTCGTAGTTTGTAGAAATGTTATTAACAGCGCTCTGTTAAACGATGATAAATGGTTTTCTTTTTCATGGACAAAAAAACCACGGATGTTTGAGATAGAAAACACGGCAGTCGCAATAATCACGAACCCTCCTGTAGAATATTCGTAATTTTCTAGAGCATTCGATGCGATTTTATGTACGACGAGCTTTCTACGTACGATTTTAACGTAGGAACCTCACGCGAGATCATTGCCACACGTAAGATTTATATATGCATTCGTAACATCTATCGCTCTGTGCGAATGTAAAAGCGTAAAATTGAGATTTTCGAGCCACGTAACACATAAAATATTCGAAATAAAATACAGTGACGAGTAGGAAAAGCCTTTATATAAAGTATTATATATACTGCGTTTACAGTACTTTAAAATACATGGCGCACACATTTTTAAATCGTTTCGCGATACAATTAATTGAGATTGTAAATTTCTATTTGTACAATTGCCACTGTGCTCGTTTTCATGTTTTGGGCGGCTGCAACAATTTTCTATTTAGGCACCATTTCTTTAATTACGTTGATAAAAATACGTATTCGTACTTAAATTCGCAGTCTACTTGTTGGTTTTAATCGAGCCACGGAGTGCAGAGCATGTAACCTGCTGACTTGGAGTGCGTAGTAATACGCTCGTGGACAGAAAGCCACGAAAGCGTGGAAACAAGTCACTTAGGCAACGTAACGTCAAAGACAATGCCCGGTACCACGCTCTGCCTGCCCGCGTACCCGCTTCTTCTTCTATCTTTCCGCCTGTCACCGTATTTTTGACCTCCGTAGAACACGCTGTGAGCACGCTCCTGTGTTTCTCTTTTGTCTTTGGTTACAATGCTGGTTACACGTGCTGTCTGATTCGCACATTTCAAACTGAGATTTCAGTTCACTGGGTTACATTAATCTTCGTCTTACTTAAAAAAGAAAAAAAAAAAAAAGAAAGAAACAATGCTTGGAACGTCGTGAAATTTACATAGAGAGCAATTTGACATTAGATGGATGATTTTGCTCGGAAATAGAGTTTGCATTTTTTTGGAGAATTTTGGCCAAATATGATTTGGTTTTTTTTTTTGAGCTTGATTTCTCGTTTCCAGATTTGTTTATTTATTTATTTTACGGGATGAATCTCTTTGCAATAAAATAGTAAATAATATAAAGAAAAGAGAAAGAGATATAATAATAATGAGCAAGTTAATTAAATAAAATTAAATTAAAATTAGATTAAAGTTAAAGTACCGAGATGTCTCAGTGCTTATGCCACGAAATAGAACCACATCGTAGGGTCAATGTCAAGTAATATTCCAAGACTTTCAATTTTCATTTTTCAATATACGTTGAGATATTTGAAATTTCCCATCTGTTTTAAGTAAAATTTATTCAAAGAGAGCAGAGAGTTTGCAATTGTGTTTTTATCATTTCGCTTCTTGCCTTGATTTCTTTTCGAGGAAGAACTCCACCGCGAAAGACGAGACACGCGAACATTACGATTACTTTGGCGTTTGCTATTCTTTTTATATTGCAACGCGTTGCATTCCACAAGTGACTATGGCTTTCTTTCGAACGGATCTACGTGTCTTCCGCCTCGCTTCCGGATATAATTATTGCTTGCGTTATAAAGTTCCGCGAGAGAACGATATTTATTTTTTTAACGACATAGAATCGCCGAAGAAAAAGCGACACACTCGAGAGAACGATATTTCATCGGTGACACGCCGCATTTCGGTTGTGACAATTGTGCAGAGTTGATGAAATGTCGCGTCATCGTAGTATGGAACGATTTTTTTTTATATTTGGCGTGCTCGAATGCGACATGTGTGGATGAATTATTCCTGAAATTAACGATTAGTCTACGTTTCTGTCCTCTTCCTTTTTTCCAGTTCTTCAATTTATTCTCCACCGCCTTTAACAATTTCACTTTCACGATGCTCTTCTTATTCATAAACGACTCACGACTCGTACGTGGACTCGTTCGAACACAATTTAGTGCAAAGCGCGTGCATGAATTGTAAAAAAAGAAGCCTCGCGTAAAAGAAATGGGTATGTCGTGTCTTCGATTGAACGGCTACGATGTTCGTTTCCGGACGTTTTAATTAGAGGCGTTCGTATTACTTTTACAAGTTCGCGTTATCGCGTGCGCGGTGTATCGTTAAAGTTCGTAAGTTACGTAAAACCCTCGAGAAAGCATTTTAAAGCAACGACGATCGACCAGTGGACGGTTTCCTCGACGATGTCCGACTTGTCCGCTCGTTCGTTTCTTCCATTTCGTATCAATTGCGCCGTGATTAACTCTACGCATTTGCATGAATTGTGAACAATCGAGCGACAACTAAACAGTCGGTTGATTCTTCATCGACAATCGGTGTCGACGCGTTGCAAAGTATGCGATTATTTAATAACAATGCTTTAATAACATTGCTCTGTGCTAACCCTTCCATGGTCGAACAATAAGCAGTAGTATGATAATCGAGGGGAAGGAATTTTAATAGCGAAAACGGCCAGTGAATTTATGCGTAGATGCGTTAAAACGGCGCCACTTGTAATTAGTCACGGAAGAGTTTTGGAACTTTGAAATTCAAATGCCGATTTTTCACGTTGATTTACCAGCGATTATTAGCTGCCAGCTTCGAGCGACATCGACGGTTATAAGAATTGATAATTCTCTTATTAAAAGAATTCGAAAATCCGATTTCGTTAACGAGACAAAGTGTTGCGAATTTAAAGATCTAAAGATCTTGCGCGTTTAATATTCACGTGGCACGGTGTTGTAACGCTTGCTTCATTTTATACAATTACGAACAGAATGTAATGTGGTAGCGTTGGCGTTGGTTACAAAAATAATTATTCGTTATATGCAATAACGAGACATTATACTAACACGAGAAGCAACTACACTCTACATGGTTGTGTTACAAATAAACCGCAGTATGCTAATAAATATTCATTACGTAACAGGGGAAAACTGTCTCGAGTTTCGCGTTTGAAAAAACGTTTATTGCAACTGCAAACTAAGAAAAAAGAGAGTAAACAAACGTAAAGGGTTCCAAGGGCCCCATTCATCGAATCACTGAATCGACCCAGCTTTCAATCAGACCGCAGATGAAAAAACCAGATAACACAACGACGCCGAAAGAAGAAATGGGTTGAAGCAGCAATGAAATCGAGCCCACTGAGTTTGCCTC